CAGGGAAAAGGAAGTCTGGATTCAAAGCCATGCACATGACATTGCAGTCTGGAAGATCATTTGAGAGAGCTTACGCCATGTCACTGCATCAGTGGGCTGGGTATCTGGGTGATTCCAGCTGCTGGCCCTTGAAAACCTCCAAAGCTGGAAAAGAGGCAAACTAAGCCATGAACTGATTTTCTGGAGCCATAGCAAGCTTCTCTTCTGACTGACAGCTCCCACCTTGACCAGAGTGAGGCTGGCCCCACAAGCACTGGCTCAGCAGACAGGGCAGGGTCACTTCCATCCCCTGATGCTGTACCCAGCACCTCCTCGCAGCCCTTTGCCCCTGCTGGGCTGGAGTGGTTGTACCTTCTCCTTATCCTCTGGGTCCCACCAGCAATGCCACCACCATCTATAGAGGCTTCTCCAACTGTTCTCCCCCTCCAGTCACACTTGCCTTCCCAGAAACTCGGATCCCAGCCTCCAGGATGTGCCAGGGGCAAGGCAGGGTGTGACCTGTGCTGCCAGGCTGCCATGTGCACTGTCCTAGTCCCAGCTGGATGACAGCCTCAGGACCTCACTCTCAGGGCTGCACCACCATCATAACAATCTCCCTCCACTTCAAAGCCCCCTTTCTCACACTTCCTTCCTTTGGTAATGAACCTTCAATTTCCTCCAGGTAAATAAAGTGGAACTGGAAAGAACTGTAAAACAAAACATAAAAGTGGCCGAGCTGGAGAGTTATAGCCTGCAGTGTCTCTGGGAATGGGTTTTCCTGTCCTCACACTGCAGTTTCTAGCCTGTTGTCTCCTAGTTTGTTTGCCTTTTCTTCCCAGATTTTAGCTATAAGATCTCTAGCATGCAACCTTCACAGGAGCATTTGGAGACATGCTAATAGGTAGGGAGACTCCTCCCATAGCTCCATTTTTATTAATGGGAGGATCAGAGAAATTGCCACGTTTTTAACATTGCTTTTTGCAGTAGCTATTAAAGTTCATGGTGTAGAAACAGTAAACTCATTTGTTGACAGCACAAAGCTCTGAGGTCAATTCTTCTGTATGAGGTTTTCAGGTGCTGGGAGAGCATGTGTTTGTTGCTCAGTAGGTTATGTGGTATTTTCATTTGGAAGTGACATTTTCCGTGACATTTTACTTTAGAACAATAGCTGGGCAAAATCGAAATTTCAGGTCTGTAGCAGAAGAGTAATGTCTATTACTTAGTCTATTTAGTAACTTGCATCATTTATAAATTCTGCCTGATTGCATCTCTTTTCACAAAATCCAGTTTAAATGCGTTTTGAAGAAGGGAGGGTGCTGACTGGTTTCAAATGTGCTGGTTTGCAAACTTGCAGACCAGCTGTCCTACTCACTGGTGAAGATAAGAGGGCTCAGATGAAGAGTTTTGTGTGGCTGGAAACACAAGCAATTTTCTCAGGAGACTGCTTTGAGGGAGATTGCAGCCCCACTGTTACTGGTGGGTATTGCCGCATGCATGTATAATTTGTGTTAGATAAAATCAGGAAGTAATAAAGACAGGTAAAAAGAAGAGATGAGAGATCTGCTGTGTTGGGTTTTTTCCTTTCCTTTTCTTATTTTTCTTAGGGAGAAAAAAATGTCCAGGGGATGCCACATTAATCTGGGGAGAAGCGAGTGCTGCTTTAAATCAGAAAACTTGTGTTATACCAAGTGCTTTATTTTGGGAACCATTTCAGTATGTTATGAAGGAAAGTTGCAGACTAGGCATGTTTACTAGACCTTTAATTGCTACATTTAGGAGAAAGGCGCTTTTTTTTTTTTTCTTCTACCCTTCCCCCTCCCCTTTTTAGCGACAAGAAGCCAGAGTTTGCTGTGCAAATGAAGCAGGCTTTGCAAGAATCAGATTCACTTTGGACGACTCTTCACATTCCTCGTCATCATTACATTAGGCAGCACAATTCCATCTCTGGTTGTTGGGCAGAAAAAGTGGGCAGCCTGCCAGGTAGACGTTTCCATGGCTCCCAACCCCCAAAGGTGATGCGTTTTTCAGCTAATTCAATGAAGAGTGGGCTGAACTTTGGGTATAAACTAGACAATAGCTGCCTTCGCAGTATCAGCAGAATGGTTTATGGGAATGCACTCCACATTTGGCAGAGCATCATGTGACCTTACGGCTGAGATTTTGTGATGGTGCCAACGGAGACTTGGAAAGCGGTGCCCGTTCTGACTTTTTTCCTCTTTTCTTACATGGCTCAGAAAATGGTGGATCTTAATACTTGACTTTAGCCAGACTCAGCAAGCAATTGAGCTTTGAAGCACAACTTTGCCTTTATTCTGGCTTTTTTGGCACACCACCAGGAGGCTGTCCCTTTCACGCCTGATAAATTCTGCTTCTTATCTCCAGATAGAAAAAAGAAAGAAAGAAAATATAAGCAGAATAATTATACTTCATAACTGCATTTTAGAACTGCACGTTTTCTTTTTTTATTGGTGACGTGTAGTTTAGAACAGCCCTCCTGAGTGTCTGAAGGATAAAAGTTGTTATTTTTTTTTTATTTTTCTGGGTTTTCTTTTCTTTTTGTTGTTTTTTTTTTTTTTCCTCCTTCCTCCTGTTTAATGAACAGGCGTTTGAACTGGGCAAACGGGGCGACAGCATTGAACATGAGATCATTGCAGCCTAGTGTAGCAAACTGGCACCCTGCCTTTTCACCCCTTTGCTCCGGCACATTTGTGCAAGCCCCATTTATAAAACCGGCGCAGGGGCGAGGTGAATTTTCTGGTCTCTCCCCACCTCTTGTCCTGGGCAGGCAGTTGCGGCAAGGATTGGTGCAGCTTTTGCGCAGTGCTTTGTGCCTGGAATTCCGAGAAGAGCGAGAGAGAGAGAAGACAGGCATCCTGGTCTTCTTCCGAGAAAGAACAGGAGCCCTAAGAAGAAGAAACAAATCTGAGTTTGTCCTACATACAAGAGTAGAGAAAAAAAAAAAGTGACTCTCCTGCTTCCAAAAAAAAAAAATCTGGCATGTTTCACTACAGAGGCATCAGGACGTGTTAGAGCTTCTTAAAACAGTGTAACAAAATGAGCATAGGAGATTGTTTCTTTAAGTACAAAAAAAAAAAAAAGAAAAAAGAAATATGGAACTAATTTTTTGTTTGTTTGCATGGTTTTTTCACTATTGCTCACATAGCAGTATTTGGCACTGGGTGAACACGTACCTTTCATATCAGGTATAGCTTCTGTTTCTTTTTTTCCTCTTTTTCTTTTTTTTAAGCCGTTTTAAACGTGTTGTTCTGCAACTGAGTTCTTGTGTATTAATTTTAACGTAGTCTTCTCTTCACACTTTTTTAAACTAACTTTTTGGGGGTGTGTTTGATCTAATGCTGCTAAAGATAGAAAGTAAACAAAAAAATCGAGGCTCTCTAGAAATAAGTGGTTAGGCACATTTTGTCTTAGCTAAGCACTGGAGTTATGCAAAGACATTAATGTTACATTTACTCAGTCTACGCTTTGGTTATCTCTAAGAAAGTTGTGGGTATTTAGATCTGGTTGCTAAGGAAATTAAATTCTTTTTTTACAGTGTGACTCATGCTTTCAGTTTCTAAAGAGGAGAAGTGAAAAAAAAAATCATGTTAAGCTGCAGGAAAGGATCGCTCTTGTAGCCTGTATATTAAAGTTGTAACTGAGTTAATTCAAATATGAGTTTCTTACAGTTTATATCTAAATCTCTAACAAAGAAATCAGTGTGATAAGCACTGGAATAAAAGGCACATTATTGGGACATTCATGAAGCACGCCTGGTTTGCAGCCAGTAGCAGTAACTATTTTAAGATATTTGGAAAAGCAGCACTTGTCCAGGAATAGCTGAAAACAGTATTTAAGATACCCATTCAGGATGTTTGTGATAAGTGCATGTACAGTTAAAGTAAGTTTTGAGCAGATGACGCTTTAGTAGAGCCTTTTACTTAAGGCATTTGTCTGTCTGTTGTAACATATTCCTAAGCAATTAGAAGAGTGTGTAACAAAATTCATTCTGACTGACAGATTTTGAAAATCTCGGCCAAATCGGTGCTTTACATAGTTTAGATTTTTTTTTTTAATATTATCTTAGTCTTTTTAATTTATGTTAAAAATACAGATGTTCTTAGCTAGAAATTACTTTGGAATTACAGCATCTCTTCCATCAGAAACTCTTACATTTGTTAGGTTTTTTTCCAAAATGTTCATGATATTTGCATCTATAATAAAAGGCTTTATAAATATTCCTTTATGAAATAGAACTGTTTTAACATGTTCTTCACTTTTTATACATTACTGAGTAGAGAGTAATTTCTAAGATTATAGATTATATGATTATGATTATATGCTAGTTTTGCTACTTTATATTTTTGTTGTTCTGCAATGAATTCTGGGAAATTGCTGAATGGAGACCTTATATATATATGACACATACATCTCCATATACCCATTTTGGACCAGAAAGTGTTTCTTAGGTTTATGGTGATACTGCCCTCCCCAATACTTTGTTGGAATAGTTTTGTTTGTCATTGATACCTAAGCCTGTTGAGAAACCAAGGCTTGCATTAGCTTAAAATAACTTTTCAAATTTCTCTATCTGGTCAGACAATCCCCCAATCCTCCCACCAATAAGTTTTTGCAATTGTTTCGTAATTTGAGCCACTTAGTTTATGCCTGTATTTTTCTGAAGTTCCATACCTAATTACCTCATTGTGTTCACTGCTTGATAAAAAGTACTCCCTTTTGTTAAGTTTGCTCCTTCTCTTCTGAAATTCCTAATAGAAATTAAGTATTTGCAGGTTAAAAAAAAGGCTGGAAATTAATAAAAGAAAGAGTCCCTTTTCCAAAGCATGCATGTTCACAGCATGTCTTCCCATGGCCCTGAGGAGGGGCGTCAGCACTGTCGGGTTTATCTTAAAAGCATAATTACTAATTTTGTGTCTATTTCATGTTCAGAAAACACTTGACATAAAACAGATATTTCAAAATCTTTCTCTCACTGTTTTTGTTGGGTTTTTTTTTAATTTTAGTGAAAGAAAAATTAAAATGAAAAAGGAAAATGAAGAAGTTAATGATACCAGATTTCAGCGAAGGTAATACAATGATCTTAAATAACTTTTTTCTTTTTTTTTTTTTTGGTTATAGAGTAAAGCTATTGGCAAGAACCTGAAACAGTTTAAAAAAATATTTCCTTAAGACAGCCTACAAATATAATTTCAGAGATGTGTATTAAACTTTTGCTCTCATTATTTGCTGTTGGGAATGTTGCAGATTGTGTAGCTGTAACTGTATAAAGATGTAGCTGTAGCTTTATACTGCACGTTTAAATGAAGCTTTAGAATTAACTGAAAAATCAAAACATAATTTGTTCTTTGATTAGGCCTAGCAGATATATAAGATATAAATTATATAAGACATGTATTTACTAATATACTCATATTATTAATATATTTATAGTACATATATCTACTTTCTACTGTGTAACTATAATGCAGTGACCAATTATTTTTCAAATGTGAAATATATCTTCTATTCACAAAAATAAAAAAGAAAGAAAATTGGAAAAGTAATTTTATAGCACTTATTACAATCATTCAGTAAGTTGTATATGCAGTCTGCATACTTATTTCTGATACTAGGATAACTGTTCTAGTTGGAGGGCTTGTCTCTACATATTCTCTACAGCATTAGCAGAATGCAGTTATAAAAATATCATTCCTTCTGAATGCTGAAGTGTTGCATAGAAACTGAAAGCAGGTTTAAAAGAGACTTTTCTAGAAAATAAACTAAAGTTATTTTAAAATGCAAGAGGGTATGAACATGCAAGATTTAATTCACTAATTTAAAAAAGAAAAGAGAAGGAAACGGTAATTCACTAATGCTCAGCTGTCATTACTGAACCAGAAATACATGTTGAAGTCTGAAAATACACCTTTATATGGTGCCTGGTTTTAAAATTATACCTGAGTCTCATGGCTGAATTTTAAAAATGCCTTTGTATGCATATTGTTGCAAGTTATTCTGATGTGCCAGGTGCAGTATTTATCAATGTTTTCGGTTAGAGTATGAAAGTTATAAAACTGTGTCTCTGTGTCACCCTTCTGAATTACTGGGTTTTGCCCCAGAGAAGTTGTTTAGGGTACCCTACATTCAGTGTGGGATAATTTTTAGAGGGTTGCTTGCCGGTCACAAGAAGGATGAATTTGTTGCAGGTGTTAACCCTGAAGTTTTGCAAGATTGCATTTCCACTTGCATTCTCATTACTAGGGAATTGCATTGATGGGAGGGTCAGTGAATAAAATATACAAATTAACTTCTTTGCTTTGCTTAGTGGCTGTTATCCAATCCACAAGTTATTGTCAAGCAGTACTTTAGTTGTGGTGTAATGTGAAGAAATAGCTATGCAGTTTTCACAATATTGTATGGGAGTAGCACTCTACTGTGCCTTGTTGCATCTCAGATTTGATGGGGTGAATTGTATTTTGAGTTGTAGTACATTATATGAGCTCAGACATGAAGGAAAACCCGTACTATTCACTTCTATGACATGTCCAGTTTTTGATTCCAGTTGAGCACACCATAGTTAGATGCAAGTTGGGAGCTGAGGGTTCATCAGTAAGGGAAACAGTGCACAAAAGGACATTAGTTCCAGCTGAAGACAAAACAATCTCTTGCCGTTAAACTGTTAAAAAAAAAAAATCCTTCCATTTTCAAATAGAAACTAGTCACAAATCTTTGGCTTGTTTGTTGCCTCCACCATTTATGCAGTTGAGCTTGGAGGAGCCTTCTTTGCAATAGATGGTAATGTTTTCACTCCTGAGTAGCCGTTCTCGCATCGCGTGGTATGTTTGTTTGTTTGTTTGAAGTCTCCTGCAGTCCCTGTAAGAGGAAAGCCCTAACCAGCCATGCCAATTGGCATAAACCCGTAGATCCGATCTTGTGTTGAAACGCACTGCACAAGCTCGCTTCTATGGGTCTGTGTCAGTGTGGTGATCTGGCAAAACTTCACGCAGCACCCACTGCAGTGGTGTTTGACAACAAGCCCAAATGAGTGTACAGAACCATGTGCTGATTCTGGAATTCTTCTCTTGTCCATTGCCTTCCAACCTGATTAAGGGATTTGTTCTTTTATAGTTTGCTTTAAGCATCTGTGGCTTAATATCTTATTAAAATTTAGAAAGAGGTGTGAGGGAACTGTAGGGTTTCCAGTGAGGGAGTGTAGTATATACAATTTCCTGGCTTTATTAAATATGCCATTCCATGGTATTGCACTCAAAAAGAAAGAAGGCATTTATATTTTATTCTTATTTTAAAGTAACACCAAATATTTATTTCCAAAGATGTTCTGGGTTTTCATCCCTATCAAATATGTATGTATATATATACGCACACAGCACACGTATATATCTTTATACATATGTAAACAAGATAGAACAGAAGTTCTACTTCTGCAGTAGAAAAATCTATCTAAGAATATGCCTTGTGGTCTGAAAAGTGGGAAATAACTGCAGTGGAAAGCCTCCCCCCATGGGAAATATGTAGGCCAGTGGCTGCTGTCACATTTCAAAGAAAGGCTGAAGAAATGAAGAAGACTTTATGGTCACCGTCGGAAGCTGTGTGCATCCGGGTTGAGGTAGTAGGTTGTATGGTTTAGAGTTACACCCTGGGAGTTAACTGTACAACCTTCTAGCTTTCCTTGGAGCACACTTGAGCCATCGAGGAATTCATCACCACTTTAATCTGATCAGGGAAAGTATGCAAAAAGGTATTGTTTCATGGCTGTACATAATGATCACTCTGAGGCTTTATTGATGTTGAAATAGTCCTGATGACTTGATTATTTCATTTAAATCCTGTTATGAACAATGCTGACACATTGCCTTAATGGACTGTGACTATGTACCACAGGCACTTAAGGAAAGAATGATGATTATTTTAATTCCATTAACAGGAAAGGTTTAAAAGTTATTTTGGTTTATAATCTCAGGAAAATACCAAGTATTTAATGCTTTTTTCATTCTTCAGGGAATAGCTTATCCTATACATTTGATTTTTGTTGCTGGCATTATATAGGTCTATATATTTTTTAAAAAGGAAAAGAACATTTTCTTTTGTCCTTAAAATGCTTTCCAGAAAATATTGCATGCTGCTGCTTGGATAGCAGTGGCAATGTCACAAGTTGATGCTAGTCTTCCCTGGATTTATGATATTATTTCTTTGTGCCTGAAGAACTCAGTGTTATGAGCACAGATCCAAATGACCTGCAGACCCACCTGTGTTCCCACCTTCTTGTGACTCAGTGACTCAGCCCAGCCCCACTCTGGGGTCTCAGCACCTGTGTCCTTACACAGCACATCAGAACAAATGTCAGGCCAGGGTCAGACCTGACCCAACATGCCCTTGTCTGTTTCAGTCCTTGATTCATCTTTCTAGCTCAGCAGGACTTGGAGAAGTCACACTCCCTGTGCAAATGGTCCCCAAAACACTGGAAACTGCCCCCAGTACCAGGTCTCAGCACTGGGTGCCTCCACCCATGTGGGATGGGTGCCATAGACAAAATTATCCCTCCTCAATCCTGGTGTTCTAGCTGCGTGCCTTATGCATGCTTTTTTTTTTTCTTGTTGTTGATTTGTTGTTTTGCTGGGTTTTTTGTCCTTTTTTGTTTTTTTTAAGGAAATACCAGAATGAACTAAGAAAAAAAAAATTCCCAATCTGACTCTGAAGACAAAATTGGGCTTGTGGAGGTTTAAGCCCCAATTTCCGTGACCCCATTTCATTCTGGTTTGCAGCCTTCCTCATCCTGCCTGGAAAAACAAATGTCCCTTAATATGTACCTCCCATGAGCAGGTATCCTGACAGAAAGAGACAAAAAGATTGAGTGTTTCCACTCCTAGAAACAGCTATGAAGAAGGAGAGAAAAGAGCTGTGCCTGTATATTCACCATGATTTTTTAAGTGAGGGCTACTTCTGGAGCTGACCTCAAAGATGAGGTCTCCCCAGTGAGATGGAACACACATTATTGCCAAAATCAGAGCATCTGGACCAGACAGTGATGCTCATTCCATAATAGCTGGGAAAAAGTGACACTGTCTTTTTCCACATACTTTTCCATAAAAAGTGAAAAGGAGTATTATTTTCAAGAACAATTTGTCATTAAAGACAGCAATAGTGATAATTTTGCTGGAAAGTGACTTAGTTTTGTTTATGTGCTCTGCAAAAGAGCAGAGCACAACACTCCTGTGGGGTTGTGGTCAGGGACAGATCAGACTCTTATGGGATGAGGAGAGGGTGAAATGTGACTGTTCCACATAGGGGTGAGGGGTCTGTTCCTGGAGCTGCCAGGATACCATTAAACAGTTCTCTTTTCAGGCTGTTTGGAAGCCCTGAATTTCTGACTTTACTTTTATTGTAGGTGAACATAACAAGATGTTTGATATTGCCAATGTTTAGTTGTTTTGTGTTTTGCATCAGCAAGGACAGTTAAGAACGTTTATTTATGTGGATTTGAAGGTGGCTTGTATTTTGATTGTGTTTTCTTCCCATGTCTGTGTATTAAAAAAAATCATTTGCTCACAGGTCCCTAAGTTTGTCTCCTACCAGCTTAAGGTTTACCTGAATCCTTTTCTAGATAAGGAATAACAGGAGGAGATGAAAATGGATTTAGTTTATCTTTTTAACAGCACTTATTTGTAGTGATTAATTTTTGTGATAGGAAATTGATAAAGAGGATCTGCATGACAGGTGGATCCAGACTGAATTTTAAGCCTGTATTGAAGTGTATGGGACAGAGGAGAGATGAGGTTGAGTGAATCAGAATTGCTCCAAGCTGATGGAAAATGCTTAAGGAAGCAATGGCTAAATGGGAGGATAGAGGGGAGACCTCCATCAACCAGTGAAGCCTAACAGGGACCACTCACAATCTGAGTAAAAACTGCAATATCCTCTGTGGATTCAAAAAGACTCTGGTCACCATTACATTTTCTTTTGTTATTTTAATTTTTTTTTTCTTTTGTAGTTTAAGTTCACTGGGAAGAAACATTGTAATTGCTGGTTTCTGCCAACAGAGCAACAGGTGTTCAATCCTTTTGTATTA